ATTGCACCATTGATTTGCTCTATCCAGGGCTGATTGGAGGTATTTTCGGATTTGTGAAATAACTCTGTACTTTACCCATACTGCTCCGTCATCAGCGAATTTAGACGTTTGGGTAGGAGAGTTGGTATGATAAAATAGATCATCGATGATGATGTTAAACAGGGTTGGGCTTATAATGCTGCCTTGTGGCGCGCCGTTGTCCAGTGACATGGGATCAGATTGATTGTTCCCTATTTTAACTGATAGCGACCTGTCTTGCAGGAAGCTGTCTATGAAGTTTGCCCTGTTCCCTCCCCCGAGGAGTCCGTCATGCCATACCACGTCGAAGGCTTTGCTGTAGCCCAGAAATACTGTGGCTAGGTATTGTCTGTTTAACTAAGCTTTTTTCCCAGTCTTAGTATATGATCTAGACATGAGTGTCTCTTCCTGAAGCCACTTTGATCGGGTTTGATGTGGTTGTCAGTTTCAAGGTGATGCATGAGCCTTTTTGTAACCATGGCTTCCATAACTTTGCACATGTTTGATGTGAGTGAGATCGGTCGATAAGAGTTTGGTAAGGCTTCGCCTTTCCCTTGCTTTAGAAGCGGGATAACTGCGGCATGTTTTCATGTGTTTTTGAACTTCTCCTTAGCACCATATCGTGTTGTACAACTCAGTGCATAAGCTCTTTGCTTGATCAGGTAAGGTCTTTCGTAACTGGTTGTGTCAAGACCAGGTGCAGTGCATTTTCTATGTTGTATTGCATCATCATACTCAGTCACAGTAAATAGTATATTGTATACCAGATGCTTGCACACATAAGCATTTTTTCCTGTTTGAATTCTTTGCTGCAATTTTTGTCACGTACAGCAAGTCAGGAAGTCGGACGGCGAGGCGGTGGCGTTGGCCGTCGCCACGACTAGTCGTTTTTCGCGCACGGGCCCACCAGGCCATTTATTGATGTAGTCGGGAAGGGTATGTCCAAAAGGTAAGGCAACCTGGAGGGGCTTTGTGGTCGCTTAATTAATTTTGGCGGAACTTTTGAATTTTGATATATGCCAATAACGTGGGGGAACTAAAGGAGTTTGTGAGGTTGTGTGTTTTTATAGATTTATTATTCATGTTTTATTGGTAGCTTGTTTGTTGTGGTATTTTGGTCTCTAAGGCTATGAGTATCAGTTTAAATACTAATTCCTAGATTATAGAAATAATACGCAGACGTTGTCCCTGTAATAGTACCGGCGTACTGTCAGCTTATCTAGACTTGTCTGTTATAAGGATAAATTGAATATACATCCATGTATGTATCATTCAGTGCAGACTTCGAGCAAGGCTAATGAGCACCATGAAGTGTTCAGCTGTTTGTGTATGGTAAGACTTGAGTTGGGGAGTGGACATTGGCATGTCTGCTGACCATGGGATAGTGACTGCTGATGAGCTGTTCTCAGTTTTATTACTATAAACAAGGTTCTTTTTGATTGCAAGATTCCTTGCGAAATGCAAAGGAGAATGTTATAAGCATGTGTATATGAATCACTACCAAATGGGTTTCATCAGACCGAATTGAGATATTTCTAATGTAAAACTATTCGTTCTTTCGTAAGTTGCTAAAGAGTGTACACATACATTTGTACTGGTAATCAAGGATAAATTGGACTCACGAAACCTGTTTGTGATAGGTGGGCGATGCACAGAAGTTGGGCAAACATATTTGGTTTGTTACAGGTAGAGAGGGTGTACGCATGTAGTGCACGTGTAGGTCATGACGAGGCGACTGTGCTTGTCGTAAGAGGCGACTAACAGGATCGGGTGTTCAGGCTCGATGACTTGGTTGATGCATGTCATCGTATCCCAATTGTTCATGATGTCACTGGGTTGTCTTGTCCAGACTCGATTATTTATAGAACGCCATCATATAGCTGCAATATTGCTGAGTGCGGCGTTAAACAACAAACAAAACAAAACTTGTCGCGAACCACCCGCTACCCCTTTCTTCCCAAATATACGCACCGTGTCACTCGTCATGTTGAAATATTTTTTGTTTTTTTATATATATAAATGGTCAGCTTCCTAGTATGTTTTCACAATATGACTGAGAAACCGTAAATTGCATCAATGTGGAACCGGAATGGAAATGGAATATCCAACATTATAGTACACGATAAACATGTTACATTAATACACATCATTCAGTAAACTGTATCAGTATGTTTTATTGCATTGTATATTCATTATAACATAAATGTATGTTAAAAATAAAGTATCAGGGTCACCAAATCAGCAACTTCATCACCATACTGTTCAGGAGAATAAGTGTTAATGAGGAGGGTGGCTTTATACACAGCTAGGTGATTATCAAGGGCTCTGTACTCCCTCTTTCTGTGTCGCTTGACACAACCTGCCTGGAGTTGGAAAATGGTTATTTCTGTGGTTGATTGTTCTTTCTTCATAATGTCTATAAAGGTAAAAGTGTTCGCATGGCTTGCTCAATAAGTGGCTAACTTTGAGTGCAACCCTTCGAGTGGTTCTTGGACCCTCTGTAGTCATGCCAGTCATGTAGTCTGCTAGACGTTTAACACAGGGGATCTCTAGATCTACCTGCTCCAAGGAATACAACCATACGTTCCTGCAACCTTTCATCTGGCACTCGAAAACGGCACGGGCTGCATTCTGGGCTGCTGTCTCAAAATCTGTGAAGATGGTAGTTGGCTGTAGATTGATGTTGTTTGCAGCGACACTCTGCTGAACCGTATGTCAAACTTGGATGGATGATACTGTCATGCGAAATATTACATACCACATAAGGCATGCTGGGCCGAGACGCGTAGTGTCGAGCCATATAGGCTTGTGAGACAAAAACATTTTTCATTCATATCAAATATGATAAAAATAACTCAGAACATCCGTAACAATTATGGTTTGAAGCACTCATAAAATGCTCGGCCTTACAGTGAGCAATGTAAGGTTTAGGTGCAAAGAACACATAATAATTACAATGTGGGACAGAGCTTCAGAGGTAATACATAATCAAAGAAACTATAATTTACAGATTAAAATACAAAATGCAGCAAAGAGGGTTTGGGTGATCCTTGCACAGCCAGACTCATTATCAGCTCAGGGCCCTTGCCCCCTCTACACGCAGCCCAGACAGCGAATTGGACTCCCAGTGAAACTCATCGAGAACTTTTCGGAAAATGTGAAGACTCCCCAGCACTCCACCATTCTGCATTGTCAGAAGGGATGTATTCGTGGCAGCAAACCCGGGGACTCTCCCAGTGTCGCTCAACAGATTGGGAGGTACCAAACCTAAGGCACCGAGAACAATGTGGAGTCGGACAACTTGGTACTTGGGATGCAAGCGTGACATTTCGAAAGCGAGGTCCGCATGTTTGCCACATTTTCCCTGAATCTTGTCAATCACTTTAGTGTCGAAAGGGACAGAATATGGTATAAATGAATTCATTGGATTTATCAAAATGGAAAAGATCAGGTTTGTTGGGTTGGATAGGTCTGAGGCTGTATGAGGGCCTATTCCAAAGAATTTTGTATTTTTCATTTTCCATGACGCCCTTATTATTATTATTAAGTTAAGTCACATTATCAGCAAAGGCACTGATCTTTGGATTGTCTGTATTTCAAAAAGAATAAAACAATGTAAAAGTATTCTTTGAGTTCTGACTAAGCGCCATTGCAGTTTATTTGTTTTGGATACAATATGGCTAAGTTAAGATATTTTCAATTAAAAATCAAATACGTGATAAAATCAACTGAGAGATTTTGTTTCGTATGCTCCTCTTGTAGATGATTATTTCCAAACAATATGATCTTGATATTAAAACCCTTGACACTAATACGATTTGATCTAATATCACAAAAATTCAAACATTTGAATTTTAATATTGATTATCCAACCTATTCCAGTCCAAAGGCAAAAAATGATTATTTTTATAATCCAGTGCGGCAAAGAGGATCCTGGGATATGTTGGATGTGGAAGGGGCAGATATTCCCGCATTTCAGTTTCCACAACGGTCGTAAAACTTGACAAAACATTTCAAAACATACCACCTGCAGCATCAATAGAGAGGATGAATAGAAAACCCTACAGGCCACGTGTAATTATGTATTATCTGCCTCGAATGAATATACTTCTGTTACCTCACAAGGGACATATTCTTAGTCGTGTTGAATTGTGACTAGATTATTCTATATCTTACCATTAGATTCATTGAACCACAGACCGGATACCTGTCTTAACATCTTCTTACATACGATGCCTATAATTAAACCTATAAAAATATCGTGAATGTACACAATTGTTTTCACGTTGGTTCATTGTCAGCTTCCATTGTTTACACCATCCTTTTTAAACTATTAGATTTGATTTTAGCTGCCCTTCAGGTGCAATAATGCACTGTTGTCCACATACAGACGTCAGGTGATTTAACGTCACTTTCAAGATAATATTGCACTAATGCAAAAAGGTGGTCTGATCAGTCTCTCTGGAACGGAAAATATTTTGTTCATCAGTTGAAATGTTCTGTTGATAAGCAATTCTGGAAGGCACATATTGACATATATTTTACAGTGAACGGAAACAAGAATATAATACTAAAGTGAGGAATGAGGGCGAAACTCCCTTTAAACCATGTAGATGTAACGTTAGCATAACAAACGATATCTTATGACCCTAAACAGCAGATCCACACACGTTGCATTTCCCAGTACATCTGCTGGCATCTAGTCCGATCTTCTTGTGGTCGATGTATTAAGAATAGATGCATCAAATAAGAATAAAATAAGTGATGAGTTGTAGCATTATTAATTAATATATTATCACTTATGTTCGGCCACACAGTAAGAGAACAATTCGTGTTGTTTCATTATTGTGCGCGAATTTCTTTTTATAAGTGCTACTGTACAACTAGTGAATCGCTTTATATATATCAATCATCACTTTACTGCCACGGAAAAAAACATTCATGAAATACTGAGGCAAATGATGATGTTTCCTGTTTTGCAGATACAGATATTAACTTCTGCGGTCCAATGTGCCACCTACACTAATTGTAATAGTTCCACAACCACTTTGACCCAACTGGCTGACTGTAATGAAGACCTTTATTGGATTTCTCATCACACTGACTGTGGCCTACTCCACAAGCAGGAACACATGTGAAATATACCCTGACCCTGAATTAGGTGGTAGCCGTGTTGACTGCCGCAGTCTCAACTTGCCCAAGGTTCCTGGTGATCTGCCCTCCAACACCGTCAGCCTGGACCTCAGTGACAACCATATACCAGTTCTGAGGAGCCAGGCATTTATTCACATCCCACAGTTGTTGAATTTGAAAATTGTGGGTAGTCGAGTTTCACGGTTGGAACCACACGCATTTGAAACTTTGATAAACCTTCGTCGTTTAAACCTAAATTACAACCACCTCCAACTGGACAATGGGACCTATCCCCAAGACATATTCCGTCCTCTGGAACGTCTTACAGGTTTGAGTATCGGCTACAACAACTGTCAGTTGAAAGGTAATACACCTCATTGGATATTTAAGTGGCTGATAAATTTAGAAACACTAACAATTGACACATTTGAAGATGACATATTTGGAAGTGGATTTGGGTATTTAAAAATATTGACAACATTGAATATTGGCACTGGAGATAACGATGAATGTAGGTATTGTGCCATAGATGCTATACATAACCACACCTTTTCAGCTTTTGAAAATTCAACTCTCCAAGTCTTGATTGCATCAGATTGTCATATTCATCATGTGGAGGCGGGAGCTTTCATTCCTTTGAAATCTATTTCTAAGCTAGTTTTTGAAAGCGTGAAGTATCTACCATCTTGTAAAGCACTACGTGCATTCTATGGTCTTAATGGTAAACATGTATGTCACGTTTTACTGTCGTCATCATACAGCTCTGTAACATCACTATCAGACCTAAAAGGTCAACTTATCTCTAACGGAATTCTCAATAAACTAACGGATATTTGTATCGAGCATATCGATCTCAGCTCAAACACGATTATATACATAGATAATAGTTTCCTGAAAGTATTTTCAAAATGTTTGAAGTATCTAGACATTTCTAAATACAGTCTGCTTGGAAATCAATTGATATTCTTTGAAATGAAAATGTGTAAACAATTACAATACATCGATGTATCACAGCAGCAGAAATACAACAAACATGATACAGAGACATTGGAGAACTTATTGCTCATCGCAAACACCCATTCTGAAAAATACCATAGAAAAGATGTTTCGAACTTAAGTTGGAATCAAATGGTTCCTTCAAACGATTACACCTTTTAGAGATAGTAGGAAATCACATGCAGTGGATGGACATGCAATATCTACGGACATTGAAATTTCTGATTATCTCAAGAAACAGTCTGGTGTCTTTACCGTTTACGCATAATGACATGCCTGACCTTAGGGTTCTGGACCTATCTCTAAACGCTATAACCTATTTTGACGATGATACGATGGAGCTGTTGGAGACTCTAGGAGAGAGGAACAAGCTGATACTGAAGCTGGATGGTAACCCTATCTCCTGCTCCTGTCAGTCACTCATGTTTATTCAGTGGATCTTTACATCATCAGTTACTTTCGACAGGAACGGGAGCTACTCATGTGTGACTGAGTACGGTGTCCTTGCAACAACCGACACAGTTTACCAAAAGTTTAACTATCACTGGACGTCGTGTCAAGGTTGGTTCTGGCTGCCAGTGTCCATCATTCTGATGTGTTTTACAGCTCTTCTTCTTGTGTCTGCAATACTGGTTTCATGGAACGGGACAAAGATCGGAAATCGTATTCTGGTCCTCATGGGTAAAGGGGTCCAGAGAGTGTTGAGGCAGGACTTTAGCAAGGATGCTTATATAGCTCATTTAGAGCAGGACATTGAGTTTGTTATGCAAGAACTACGCACCGTACTGGAGGAGAGACATGAACTGAGACTAATCCTCCCAGACAGAGACTTCCTTCCAGGTTCCTTCGTGGCTGACAATGTTGTAGAAAGCATTAACAAAAGCTGGAAGACAGTATTGGTTGTGTCAGATGATTTTCTAGGTGATCCCTGGTCCTACTTTATCATGAAGTCAACAACGTACTACATCTCTAATATGAACCCTAACAGAGTGATCCTACTGCTGGTGGGTGACGTGAACCACGGCCGACTGCCAGAGCTGCTCCTGAACGTGACAGCGGAGGAGGACATCATTGAGATGGAAGAACTCCCTGACCCCAACAGTGCCGTGTGGCTACGTATCAGGGACAGGATCCTTGCGAAAGCATTCTGACATACAAGAGTATAACGCCTTGTGTGTGAATTTGGCTTCAATCTCAAGATACCTTTGAGTAAATGATGTTTCAACCGTGTCCAAACCCTTCTGCCTTCTGCGTTGAATGAAGGAAACAAATTCAGTGTCAATCCTGTCTTCATTGACATCATAGTTTCTAATAGACACTTAAAGGTAAATGTGAGATTTACCGGTTGTGAGAATGTTCGGTGTTTATGTTCCTAAAAGGAATGTAACTGCTCAAGTCAGTATTCATCTATACGTGTAGTAAAGTTCTTGATCGTATTAGAATATATGTCCATATCAGTATATATGTCCATATCAGTATGTATCTATACCTATAATATTCGCGTCACACAGATATAAAGAGGTTATACTTTTTCCTATATTATCAGATATTACTGTCAAAATTACACAATTTGAAATTCAAGAGCATTGTTAAACATTAAACTACCAAGTAAGAAAGCGTGCGTTGTCTTACAGTGTCTTAAGGGTGGGTTTTGCCAAGTGCTCTGAATGTCAAAGTGAAGGTCAAGCGTGGGAAAACGGCATAAGTAATTCTGGCCAGTTGGGGTGGGGAAGGTTACACTATGACTTGCTCGAGGCACGTTTGTACGCAGGATGAGCAGAGTCCCTGAGTATGTTTGTAAGGAAGCCCTTGGACCAAGCCATACTAACAGGGTTACTGTCACTGCTTCATTTTGGCGAAACCTGACCAGGATCATGCTGATCCTTCTAGGTAAAGGCCAATATCGCATACTAGTTGTGTTTGCAAGACCATTGAAAGAATGGACAATAATCATTTAATATGGTTACTTAGAACGAATAATAATGTTATCACAAAAACCCAATGTGGTTTCAGAAACAAATAGAAGTACTACTATTGTTCATTTCGGTAGATTGGATACGCTAGTTCCAAAATGCTATCATCAATAACAACACAGCGCATAAGTATATTTTTCGAACTAGAAAAAGCCATTGATGCGACCTGGAAACATGGAATTTTAAAAGCTCTTTATGAGATGGCATTGATAGAACGTTTGCCCGCTTGTATCTCATGTTTGGTACAGTGTCTGAAACACAGCAGAGTAGACTGAGTAAGGGCCAGCACATTTAATAAACTGTAGGCCCTGTGGAAAAACTGTAGGCGCAAACTTTTTACTTGAAGCAGGGAGACGTACTCTTGCAATATAAATTACAAAACACAACCAGTCAACCAGAAGCTTTACTGCTATCGCACCGAGATCCCAGTTCCCATCTATGGAGATAGATGAAGCCTACATTTATGAAGGAAATCATCAGCTTGTAATACATCTTTGCTACTACGTGTCATACACCATCTGAAAGGTCTAATGCTAATGTTTATAAATATGAAAGTTATGGTTGTACTAAAATAATGCTTAATGAATAATTACTTAAATAAACTGCAGGTCGTAATTTTTAAAAGTATGTTCCAATGAGTAAAATCCAGCATACAACGGCGTTTTTAAACCTCTTTATTGCGGACCTTCAGGTTAAAAAGTCATTTCTTCCAAATGTAAGAATAAGAATGAAACAATTCCTTTCTGCTGCCAATATTGAACTTGAACATATATCTCTTCCTCGTCTTATTTCTTCTCCTCCGTGGCAACTGATAAAGCCATATATGGATTTTACCTTATCGAACTGAAGACAAATGAAATAAATCAACTATAATATCAACAAGAATATAATCAGCTAAGAAACGGATATGTTGCATATAAATCTATATTTACAAATGGATACAAGGGTTGTGACACAGTTGCTAGTGCCACTGTTGTTCATCCCGTTTACCAGATAACAATTCCCTTCTCATAGCAGAATCAATTGCCATTTTTGGAGCTCTCAATGTATCACTAAACAGACTAATATAATCAGTTTGTAATATTTTCATATTCTCTCTCGTGTCTTATGGCTTTCAAAAATAATACGAGCAAACATCCAGTTTTACTTGGCATCATAGAATTATTGTGATACTTGGTACTGGCCAATGAGACACTTTCTTTTGATGGTTACCCAGGCATGTTGGAATCGTTGGTAACACCATGGCTGATGCTGCAGCAAAACAGCCCTTAAGAAATCTGTGACACCACTCTGATCTCATACAGCAATTACAAACCTGTAATTAGTACATCAGAGGTCTAATGTAAAAGAAGTATGACACTCAAGTAAAAAATGACTAGTAGTAGTACAAATAAACTTCATGACATTAAACTTTACTATGGGTTATTATGGGTCAGTCCCGATTTGAAGAGGTCATACGATGATGTCGGACTTACGATACTAGATATACACATGAATATTTATTGAAGGGTGAAGTTCCCCCGTTCTGTATCTTTTGTGATGAGAGGATCACAGTCAAGTATATTTGTTTGATTATTTGGAATTTTCCATCATAAAGCATAAATACTGTAAATGATCTTTAAGGGATCTTTTAAAATGTTAGCATTCATTTAATCATTTCTTTCGAGAGGAAATAAATGTGATTGATTTGCCTGATAAAATTGCCGTCAATATCCAGCAGCTGAAGGGATGGTGTAAATCCTGCTGGAAAACCGTGCAGGTAGCTGAGGTACCGTTAGTTCCGACGTCCCCAACTTTTGTTGCTGGTGATCCGTAGGTGATTTTGGTCGGATGCATTTTGATATTATTAGCTATCAACCATCCTATCAAATCTAGTGTTCAATATATATGTATGTATTATAGTATATTTCCCGGTGTATATATATGCTGCATGCATTGGCTATCAAACATCCTACAAAATCTGCTGTTCAATATGTATGTATTATAATACATGTTCCCGGTGTATATAAATGATGCATGCATTGGCTATCAAACATCATACAAAATCTGGTGTTCAGTATTTACACAACAATTATAGTACATGTTCCCGGTGTATATAAATGCTGCATGCATTGGCTATCAAACATCCTACAAAATCTGCTGTTCAATATGTATGTATAATAGTACATGTTCCCGGTGTATATAAATGATGCATGCATTGGCTATCAAACATCCTACAAAATCTGGTGTTCAATATGTATGTATAATAGTACATGTTCCCGGTGTATATAAATGATGCATGCATTGGCTATCAAACATCATACAAAATCTGGTGTTCAATATGTATGTATTATAATACATGTTTCCGGTGTATATAAATGCTGCATGCATTGGCTATCAAACATCATACAAAATCTGTTGTTCAATATTTATGTATTATAGTACATGTTCCCGGTGTATATAAATGCTGCATGCATTGGCTATCAAACATCCTACAAAATCTGGTGTTCACTATTTATGTATTATAATACATGTTCCCGGTGTATATAAATGCTGCATGCATTGGCTATCAAACATCCTACAAAATCTGCTGTTCAATATGTATGTATTATAATACATGTTCCCGGTGTATATAAATGCTGCATGCATTGGCTACCAAACATCCTACAAAATCTGCTGTTTAGTATTTACATAACATTTATAGTACATGTTCCTGGTATTTGTAAATGTTGCATGCATTGGACATCAACCATCCTATCAAATCTGACGTTCCATATGTATGTATACTCAACAACAAAAGTTCCTGTGACACCAATATTTTAGTGTATTTTTCAAAGAAGTAAAGTTTGGTTTTCTATATTGTAGTACATGTATGGAATCAAGTCACAAAAACGCGACTGCTTAAGAAAAGCATGCATTCCATGCAAAAGTTGACTTTTAAGCTCCATGCATTTCACTACCCAAGAATGGGTATAAAAACATGTGCGTTAACGGGATTCCATATGCATTGTTCAGCATCGTGCTGACATCAACCACTCAGAAAAACAACAAAATTACGCAATTATTCAACATTACGAAATGCCACGCCTGTCCGAAAATGAGCGTCTGCGAGCCATTGGTATGCTTGAAGCAGGATCGATTCAACGTGATGTTGCAGGACAATTTAACGTCCACAGAAACACCATTTGGTGTTTAATGCAACGTTGGCATCAGACGAATGCAGTCAGAGACCATCCTCGGAGTGGCAGGCCATGCGTAACCAATAATCGACAAGACAACTGGATTCGAACAACGAACCTACGAAATCGATTGCAGCCAACAACAGTCGCCAGAAGACCCGCCAGACGTCCCATTTTGACAGGGAACCACGGTCAAGCACGTCTACAGTGGTGCAGACAGCGTTGACGGCCATGCAGTTCTATTCACTGACGAGTCTCGTTTTCACCTCAGCCACAGCGATGGACGGATTCGTGTGTACCGACGTCGAGGTGAACGTTACGTCAATCTTTGTGTCTCATGGAAGAAGATCGGTTCGGGGGCGGCAGCGTTATGGTATGGGGTGGGATTACAGCAAGACAGAGGACCCGTTTGATAGTGGTAGAGGTAAAAAATCATTGGACAGCGCTACCGTGACGAGATCATCGGCCCTGTTGTTCTACCGTTTTTGCGTCGTCATGGCCCAGGTATTACCTTTCAACATGACAACGCCCGGCCTCATATTGCTCGATTTGTTCAGGATTCTCTTCAACAAAACAACGTGAATTTCATCCTCTGGCTGGCTCGCTCCCCTGATCTCTCACCAATCGAGTACATGTGGGATGAGATGGATCGGCGCCTTCGACGTCAACCATGATGAGTTTTTTCAAATGGATAGGCAACAGGTGCAGCTGAAATTGTGTTCAAACCAGACCTAAACAAGTATTTTTTCTTCGTGTTTCTATACCTGAGTTTTGTAGAAAAGAATGCTGTATTTCCATAACTCACACACCAATGAGATTAAGTTGAATGTAATGTGTAGAGTTGTCAAAGAAACAATAAATGTTCCAAACTGAAGATCGGTGGGAAACTTCCCCAGTGTGTATTTATCCATATTACATCTGTTAAATGTGTTATCTTGGACAGTATCTTTGTCTTTGTTCGTTACATTGCTCGAATCTGGTTTCATGTCTACATTGTTAATATATACGTATCCGTTAGACTGAAATCACCAACGGTCTTATTTTCTTCAAACTCATGTAGCGAAATCCCGAATGCGTGATTCATCGTTGAATAAATATCGAGTCATCGAGATAAACGACCATGAAAGGTTAACAATATGTTATGGCGTTTTTATTGAACCAATACCATCATAACCGGATGATTTCAGTTGGATATAGTTTTAAAAAGTTTCATACATAACTTTGTAAACTAATAACAGACGCTGGTATAAATCTGTAGGTATATACAAAAGGCACACGCCGGTTTGTTTTTAATAGCGACGTTTTAATTTATAAACTGTTTCTTTGTCTTCTTTATTTTAACTAGCAAACAGTGTTCCTTAACATGTTGATAAGGTCTTCAGTTGCGGCCACACTGAGGCACTGTTAAGGCATCGCCGCAAGGGAAACACGACTTAAATATCCATTCTTTGTTATATAAAGTCCCTCTACTTCCCCTGTATACAATGCAAGCCGTGGTGTTTTGAGAGGCTGGCTGTGACTT